CATCCTGGAGGAGTTGGACTGCCTGTGCAAACTCTGTAGGATCCAGGTATCGCATCATGCTACAAGTAGTGACACAGACCTAGTCAAATGCAAAACTAGTGAAAAACAGTCAGAAAAGATGAGTAGGGAAAAAAATGTCAGTAGCCTCCACTTGTAAAACCATTCCTGTTTTAGGGGTCGCCTCATTGTTGCCCAGCTAGTGCACCTGTTGTTAATATCATCAACACCAAAGCAGCTGAAACTGATTAACAACCTCCTCTGCTACTTAACTAACCAGATCAATATTCCAGAAGTTTGATTGACCTGATGCTATACTCTGATTAAAAAGTGTTCCTTTTTTTTTTTTTTTTTTTTGAGCAGTGTATTGTTTTACAAGACACCCAGTACATTGAAAATCCGTTAAAAAAAAAAAAAAAAAAAAATGCAAAACGCTTCATACTTTCGTTAGAGCTTCATTTTCAAAAAATTTTTATAGAAGTATTTTTGAAGTACAAGATAAAACATAAAGGATGACACAGAAATTAGCAAATTGTCCATATACATCTCACCCAAAAACCGAGTTATTTGTGGACCAGAAGTTCTACTGAATCCGTGTGTAGCAGCAGACATAAAGCAAAGAAGGAGTCAATAAAAGAAGACGCCTTCACAGCTGGGAGGGATAAGGGAGTGATGATGAAAGCTAAAGATCAAGTAGTGTAGAAAAAAAAAAGCAAAAAAGGGGGAGGGAGGAGGACATTAGGAGCATCCAAGCCATTAATAAAAGGTTCCAGTGCCCTGCAAAAGTTTCAAGACCCTGGTCAAAAAACCGGGCAATCATGGGGTACGTCCACCATGTGTGTAGAATGTCCCCCAAGGTGGAACAGCTGCGGTAGCACGTGCCGGAGGAAGATGGATTAAGGTGTGCTAATAGGGATGGGCCCATGTACCATCTTGTGAGTTTTAAATGTGAATTCGACTGTGAATAAGTTGATGGAGCAGATAGCCATAGTTGACCAAATCTGTAACCAGTCTTTCCTATCTCTTGTGCACTGAAGATCACTTAACCCATCTGGAGACATAAGTGTGACTAGAGGTATTGGTAGAATCAATCATTCAGTTGTGAATAAATGATAGATATGAGTTTAGGAGTTAGGTGTTTATGAGTTTAGGAGGGAGAGGTGCATGATAACAAATGCTCAAAGAGGAAATGCTGTTTGTGAGCTCCCTATTGGCAAGTATGCCGAAAAAAACTGCTATTTTTCCCTAATTTCCGCCCAGGCATAGACACAGCAGCCATTTATGAAAGAGTGGATAAAATGAAATTTGTGAAAGGGCAAGGAGAGTCTAGTCCGGAAGGGAATAGTGGATTGCCTAGGAAGGGTAGAAGGGGAAAGAGAGGCAAAATGACTTTGCTGAATTATTTGGTGGAATCCCAAATATGGAGTGTGGGGAGCATTAAAGAGCTGATGGGTGTTGGTATGGCTTTTGTTGGTAACTGTGGAAGTGGGTACGGGAGAGAGACTAGGGAACAACAAAGCATCTCCAGGTCAACCCAAAGGGGAGCTTGTCATGAGGCATATAGGGAGACCAAGAGAGCAATTTGTGTGGCTGTGAAATATTTGCAGAGGTTGTGTGTGTGAAAGCGCAAAACAAAATTTTGGAAAGATCTCAAAAAGTGCAACAGGATGAAAATCGGAAGGGTGCAAAATAGATATAAAAGCTTTGGCAGGATGGTCAACTTCATAGAATTAATTTTCCTGTAACTCTGGAAAAGCCTGGACTAACAAGAAAGATAGCGAATTGTAGCCTAAAGATGGTGGCAAAGAACTTTCAGCCAAGAGAGAAAGCGGGTTTGAAAGCCCTATCTACTTTAGGCATAATGCATCTATTACCAGGAAAGGGAATCAAATATTTTATAAATGTCTAGCTTAAGAATCATGCTGGGAATTCGTCATTGATGGATCAGGTGGATGACTTTGCGAATATTATCTGATGGTTGTCCATATGGGATAAAACACACCCGATCTTTAGAGATAAGAGTGTGAAGAAATGTATTGACTCTAATTGCAAGGATTTTTAGGACCATGTTCAGTAGTAAGATTGGTCAGTAATTATGTGAATCTAGAGAATTTTTTACCAGGTTTTGAGGGCATAATTATATGGGCTGAAATAGAGGAAGGCTGTAAATCCATGTGATTTAGACAGGCTAGTCTGATGTGGGGGGCAAACATCTCTCACAACTTTTTATAATATAAGGCCGAGAAACCTTCTGGCTTTCTTGCGTTTTCGAAGATTTGATAATCCTGAGGACTGTCAGGACAGTGATTTCCACTTCTATCTCGTCTATCATAGACTTGTATATAGAAGGTAACATGATGTCTTGGAATAGATCATCCACCAGGTCTCTATGTAAAAAGTCCGAGGACTGACTGACAGAACAGAAGAAAATGTATCCACGATAATGACTTGGTTGGCATCTCAGGTATGGGCATTGAGTAAATTAACTATCGTTGGACCAGGTTTAGTGGCAAAACATTTCCTCCTGATCCATCTCAAATGTTTTTCTGCCTTGTCAATAAAAAAAGTTGAGTTCCACTCTGGTTTTCTCTATTCGTTGCCGTAGGGAAGACATTTTGAGATATTTTAAATTGTTTTGGTTTGGTCAAGGCAGGAAGAAAAGGAGGAAATCTTAGAATCACTCTCTCTTTTCCTGTGCGTGGCAACTTGAATTAGTTTCAAAAGGACCCTTACTTCGGTAAAGAGTAGAGGAGCGATCTTGAAGATACTTTGACAGAAGTCCAGAAATCTAAAATAGAGCAGCTGGTACATGTATCTTCTTTGAGTTCTAAAATAAAGGAAACATGCTATTAATTGCTACTCAAGGTGGTGCAGGTTGCTAGACCATTTAGCAGTTAAATTCTCGGGTGTCAGCTGTTAGAGGGTTTGTAGGCAGCAGGGGATGTTTAGCCACCTTTGGGGAGACTATCTGGTCATAAAACCTTTCTGGACAGCAGGATCCATGAGTCACCAATGCCTAGTAAGTGATACAGAAAATCTCTAGTGCCTCACCTGAATTCAGTGAAGTGGGGGTGTGGTCAATAAAATAATGGAAAACCAAAAGCAGACATATTGTCTCTGAGATCAATATGACACTTTCTATGGTAATAGGGTGGTTTGGTTACACTTTATGTCTACAGAGAATTTCAAGAAACTCAGCGACCTGATATAACCACATAACTTGACTCACATGGCGTTTAGAGATGGAATTCTTGTGTTTCATGTTAGTGCTTGTTACTTTTTCAAAAACAAAAAGGAAAACGCGGGACTTTTCTATTCTTGCTGAAAAAGTTAACTTGAAAAATGAAAATCAAAGCAACCACCACAACTAAAGAATGGTTAGCTTTAACATATTACATTTTGTAATTTGTACTTTGGGTTGGATATCCTTTAACCCCTCGATGCCGACGTAACACAAATATGCGGCCTCACAGAACTGGGCTTTTTTTCCATGGGGCCGCATATTTGCATACCTGTCTTTCTGCTGGGAGTGCGCAGCATGGCACGCTCACAGCACAAAGACCGTGGTGTCACAGAGTACCGGGTCCCATTCTAACGATCGGGACCCGGGACTCCCGATTCCGGGTCACATGATCACTGTGATAGCCTCTGACTGGCTATCACAGTGATTAGTCACTGTACAGCCTGGCCCCCTTGTGTTTTTTTTCTCTCCATGATACATTGTATCTCTCTAACTCCTGGCATAGAGGGGGGGAAAAAAAAGTTTGTAAAAAAAAAAAAAAAAGATAGATAAATATTACAAAATAAAGAAAAAATACCTGAATCTAGTTCAGTGCCAGGGTAAGTGTTTGGGTCAAGGTCAAAGGTCAGGATTTAAAAGAAAATTGGTGTCAATGTGTTTTAGGTATAAAAAAAACAAAACAAAAACAAAAGGCGCTATTGTTTCTAAGCTGTACTACGGGTACAAACATCATACACATATATGGTATCGCTGCGATCGTCAAGAGCTGGAGAATTTATTTTAGGTTGTTCTATGGTGGTAGGTTATGGTAGTAACAAGAGACACACAGCTAAATAAAAAAAAAAAATTTTGTTTTTACTATTTTGGGCCAGTTTCCTTTGATGATGATAAAAAAAAAAAATCAGGAGATATCAATTACCATTTACCACCAAATGAAATCCCAATTTGTCCTGAAAAAAAACAAGGTATAATTCACCTGGATTTACAAAGTAGTTGTGATATGTACGGTTTTACTAACACATGTCAACATTGCAAAATTGTGCTTAGGCATTTAGATGTTTTACCCTTCGGCGTGAAGGGGTTAATTATCAAAACTGTAGACTGAGACTTAAGTTGTACAAAATCCTGGTCTGCTGCTCACTTGATTCACACTATTGCTTTTTCACATACAGGGAGAGAGAAAGCAGTGCAGAATTTGCTAAAGGCTCGCTGGCCCCTTAGTTTTTTTTTTTTTTTAATGATTTCACAGACGTTGCACAACTTTCACCCAAGATGCACACATTTTCTAACTGGATTCAGTTGGAAAAATGTTTAAATCCTAGGTGAAGGATACGTGAAACACTGTATAGACACCCATGTATTCCTTTGAGCTTCTTCCTCCAGTCCTCATATTCCCTTTGGTCTTTCATGTCTTTCTTCCCTTAATACTTCTGCTCATTGGCTTTCAATGTGCTCCTTCTCTCCAATTTCCCCCCCCCCCCCCCCCCCCCGAGTTTTCGCATGATTTTTTTATCCTTGTGTAAATTTCTGTCGGTCCTCCTACACCTCCTGTTCTCTGTGTGTCTTCCCCTGATCCTTGTGCAACTTGTATCCTTTTGTGCTGTGCACATTTCAAAACATAATAGCAAAACATTTGTGGCATTAGAGATTGGGGAAGGTGGAGGGGGTGTTTATATTTGCTGGAAATTTTATTTTTCTTAAAGGTAATCCAAATAATATTTGAGGACATTATATTTTTTATTTTTTTTCGTTTGTCTTTCAGATTCACAAACAAAAACATTAATCACACTATTCCAGAATGGTCTATAATTGGCATTGTTCTTCTGTCTGCGTGAGTATAGTTACTTTTTTTTTTCATTACAAAGGCTAAAATACAACCCTGCCTGTTTATTATTTTTAGAAATCTATGTTTAATGTTTACTAGTTTGTCACTCCTGGAAGGCACTGCCACAACCCAATACAGTGATCAATCCCCCCCCCCCCCCCCCCGCTCTATCACAGACAAAAAAAATCCTTGCAAAAATATTTAGTCAAAAGTGAACTCCCTTGGTGTGCTGCTATGTTATTATCCCCTTGCAGATTCTCCAAAAAGTGGTGAATAAAAGTTTTTCCACTCAATACAGCACTACTAATCACCAAATGATTGTGCAGTGCAATCCATATCCAATACCGTTATTTCTTCCTATATCCAAAAATGAACATGTAGCAAATCTCGTAATAAAGTGTACAAATATACGTATGAGTGAATAATCATTTGTTTGGTATTAAACCCACAAGCAAACATTTATTATATTGCAGCTTACCATTTCTTTCATGTGATGTTTGCATTCTTTTTCTTTCTTTTTTGGGGTGTTTTCCTCTATTTTCTTGTGATCTTGCCAGTAAGTCTGTTGTTTTTCAAAGGAACAAGCTATGCAGCAGAATGGATCAGTTACAGAGATGAGGCAAACCATTTAACACTAGCAGGGGTGCTTACAATTATCACCTTTTTTATTTATAATAACCTTTATCCCAAAAAGAAAAAAAAAGTTTGATGTAACTCCCTATAAAGTATTAGCTAGAGTTTTGCTTCAATTTATTAGTGTATTTAAATATGTTAGTACATCTAACACCCCCCCCCCCCCCCCAGACTGGCAAAGGTGCCCCCTGTGCTCCTTCATCCAGGGTGGGGGCACAGGAGGTGTATTAATGGCCAGATCACCAGATGAAAACAGAGGGAAAAGCTTAAGAAAAGAAAACTAATGCTGCCACCACATCTAAACATCTAATGATTGTTAAGTTGCAATATCTGACATTTTGGTTTTGAGTTTAACACTGGTTTAAACTTTATAGGAAGAAAAAAGTAATCATAATTGTGAAAACCCAGTCTTAAAACTCATTGTTCTTCATCCAAAGTAACATCCACCACATTGTGTTCACTTTACTTGCCTCCTTAGATCAAATAGTGTACTGCAACCACACAGTTGCTTCCCTTCACCAATTGTTGGACACAAACTCACCAATTTCCATTGCCAAACTGTCTCAAGATAGGCAAAACTCGTTTTGAGAAGCTCTGGCTATTGCTGCATTAACTGCTAATGAATGAGTCCAGGTGGAGATATGCTGCTTTGTATCAGGGGCAGGGCTATTCCTTCTCATACCTTATGTCAAAAGGCATATAAAAACCCAACAGAGTGTGTAATATTGTAAAGGCACAAGTATGTATTCAAAACAATGTTGCACTTGAAATTCCAGTTTAACACAAAATGCTGTCAGCTTTGCCTAAGGCTCCGTTACCACTAGCGAGATTTTAGATGTGACTTGAGTTGCACAGAATCGTATGACAAAGTTAAATTGCATTCTTTTCAATGGTGCCTGTTCACAACAATGCAACTCAGCATGGAGTGATTTTGGAAAAAGTTGCTGTACTACTTTGGTGCGATTCCAGGCCCCATACAATATGCAAACCACTTCAAAGTAACGTCTGAGTTGCACTACATAACCGAACTGAAAGTTAGATCAAAATCTGATCACAGTAGTGTAAACGTAGCCTTAGAAGCCAAGGCTCTCACACCTCTCTGAAAGCGGAGCTGACTACGCTGTTCATGGGTCACTTCTGCTTTCCAACATGAAACTCGTACGCCATCAGGCTCCGCCCCCAATGCTGTGCTTCCAGAGGGGTGTGAGCACCTCGGCGTCTTTAGCAAAGCTGACAGATCGCGTGTTAAGTTGGAATTACTTTTCTTCATGTAAGTGCAACATTGTTTAGAATAAATATTTGTGCCTTCACAATATTACACTAAGTTGGGTTTTCTTTGTATGCCCTTTGAGATATGCTGAGAAGGAATAGCCCTGATACAAAGCAGTGGGTCTCCACTAGGACTCCTTCACCAACAGTTGATGCGGCAATAGCCAGAGCTTGAGAGAGGTAGCCAACTGGAATTGGTGAGTGTGTGTTCAATAGTTAGTGAAGGGAAGCACCTGTGTGAATACACTATTTGATCTAAGGAGAGCAATTAAAGTGAACACAATGTGGTGGATGTCACTTTTGATGAAGAACAATGATTTTGAAAGTGGTGCTCCAGGCTCTCCCAAAAAATTAAATGTCAGCAGCTGCAAATCCTGGAGCTGCTGACTTTTAATTTAAGGACACTTACCTGTCCAGGGATCCAGCAATGTCCCTACCTGAGCTGATTCTTCAGTCGGCTTCAAGTGTAAGTGGCGCATTTTCAGTAAGGGAAACCGTCAGTGAAATGTTGCGGCTTCACAGCTGGTTTCATACTATATATATGAGTTTGTTGAGACATTTGACTGGACACCGAATGGATTGATGTGCCAATTGAAGCATTCACTTATATGGATTTGCACTTTATTATCAGATTTATTATAATGTTTTTTGCATATAATAAGTTTATAAGGATATAGGATTTGGATTATGCTGCACATTAGTTTGGTGATTAGTAATGCTGTGTTGAGCGGGAAAATTTTTTATTTACAACTTTTTAGAGAATACTGTGCCCCAACCCAGCATAAAATTCATTGTTTGTTATTAAAAATAACCAGTCAGGTCTGAACATTATGTAAGTAACTGTTCAACCCTAATTTATTAAAAAAAAATTCATACTTTCTATTCCTCCCCACGTTCCTACATATTACACTGACTGGGAAAGGGAGGCAAGAATTGGCACTCTTAGCTAATCAGGGCTCTGCTGTTTATGCATAGTACCGACAGGTACATACTGTATGTCATGCTTATAGAGGCTGAGAACGCACATATGGGCAATGTAAAAAGTAAGGTAACATATAGTAGCCAAGCATATCACCTTTCATTATTCCGACTTTGGGGGTCTGAAATCTGATTGGCTGCCAGAATTTACCACTTTTTGCACACCATTCGTGTTCTTTGTTCTGGCTTTAGGAGTATCTAAACTCCAAAACAAACATGTACTTTATTGTTACCTACCAGTCCCTAGATGTGTTGATTGCATTCATTTTCGTATTAAGAATATTTCCAGCAAATACCTGTTGATTTTGTCAGAATGTATGCTTGCCACTTCCTGTGAGCTTAAAAGAAAGCTCAAAGAGTAATAATCCCATGAATAAATGTAATGGAGATAAACAAAGGAATACATACTTGAAGGGCAGCCTGTATAACAACCATGGCTGACTCCATAGTGATAGTGGAAAAATTGGTGTAGACTTGAAGTTTTTCATTCCCCAAATTACCAGGTGAAAATAAAAGGGCAAAGAAGCCTGACAAAAGAAAACTAATGCAGACACTACATCTAAGGATTTATAAGCTGAAATATATTAAATGTTGGTTTTTGGGTTTAAATATGCTTTTAAAATAAGCCTTTGATGATGTAACAATCACAAAGCATATTTTTATTTTAGGTAATATTTGTTTATCAACATTATTATTTTATGTCTATACATAAGATAGGTTTTGATGTACTATGTTTATATGCTTTGCATTTTGACAAACATTAGGTAGACAGTTTATGAAATTTTATTTGGCGTTTATAGTATACATTTGAAATGTTTGTTTTTCCAAGAATATTTCAATTGAATTAAAAATAGAATCTTCCCATAATTCCAAAAACAAGGTACATATCTGGAATTACAGTAATTTTCTGTAAATGTAACTGCTGCTTTTACCTCTTGTTGTGGGTTTGATGAGTCATTTGAGCCTCTAGGGCAGGGAAGTACTTACGAGACATTCACAGGTCAAGGAACGTTGTGGACCAACATTGTAGCCTTCCTAGCACTACACTTAATATATTTTGATATTGCTTCAGTCTGACACATTGTTCTATATTCACTGTCCCAAGAAAGGCTGTACTAGCAGATATTAGCGCAGGCTTCAACGAGCCCTACATCTGTGTCACTCTGTCAGATACTGCTCAAATGATTCATTAAATCAGAACACAGAAAGTAACTTTACTTGAATGCTTTGGCATCAATTTTTTATGAGCTATAAGAACAAATCTTTTGTCATTTTTATTATATGCTCTTCTGGTTGAGCTGGTAATTTGTGAAACAGATCTTATGAATTTTTTAGTCTTTCTTTACCTTATTTTTGCCAAAAATAGTTAAATGTTGAAACCGCTTAAATCTTTCAAGAGTCAGAATACTGAATTAAAAAAAATCTCTTGAGCTCATTTAACACAATCTGTATCCAAAGTAAAGCAAAACAGAATTGAGGGAGATTGAACTTTAATTGTTCATTGACTATATAGAATATACTGGTTTACAAACTCTATTTGAAGAAAGTTGTATCAAAACTGTTTTTTTTTTCTGTAGCATACAGGTGTTATCTTGCCTTCTTTGAGAAAATTAAGCAAGGAATTGTAGTGGGGTTTTGTAGTAAGGGTTCTCACGCATTTATGTTAAAATGTTTTTTGCTAGAAAATGACTTAGAACCCCCAAACATAATATAATTACCAAAAGCGGAGGTCCTACAAAATGAAAAGGTGGTGGTTGCAATTTTGTATGTTGCACAATATTTGTGTAGCCATTAAAAAAAATATACACTTATATGTAATAATTTTTTGTTAAACATAAAAGATTATGTTGCATGGAGTAAATAGATACCAAGCATGTCAACATATTAAAATTGCCTGTGAAATGGCGACAAACTACCATACCTAAATTTGTCCATAGGCGATGCTTTAAAAGCCTTTACAGGTCACCAGTTTAGAGTTAAATATGGGCTCTGGTGCTAGAATTATTGCTCTCACACCATTGTGCTTGTTTGCATTTATGCGTGAGTACAGGGGATGACATATTGGTATACCGGGCCAGTACCATGTGACTGCTGTGACCAATCACAGCAGTCACATGACATTTGTACACAATGAATGGCTTTCATTCCTAGTCATTCTTTGTGTAATTTTGTTATGAGCTCTGTGAATGGTCACAG